AAATAAATGCTGGCGTGGGTCAGCGAAATGCCTCAGTGCATGAAGGCACTTGCAGGGCAAGCCTGGCAGTCTCTGCATAGAAGAAAGAGGCTTGGTGACATGCCCCCAGGAACAGCGCTGACTAGTGTAGCTCCCATAAGAGGCCTCCGGTGCCTGGCACGGGGTCACTGCCTGCTAGAGTTGAATGAAGTGGCCCTCTTGAAGGAGGAATCTTAAGTACTGAGAGTAGTGGTCACCTCACTGGATCCAGTGACATCGGGAGACCACTTCTTTGTCTCATAGGAAGTCCTTATCTTCATGTCCACGTCTTCAGATACAACCGTTTCCCCGCATCCCCGTGTGTGGCCGGCTGGATTCCTTGGATGTGGGAATAAGATCTCCCCTGGCCTTAGCATGCTTCCTCTGAGCGGGTACGGACTGTGTTGGGCTGGTGGTTTTGGTCAGTAACACCAATCCCTTTCGGTTCTCCAGCACCATCATGGGCATAACCATTTTGCCTCTGAGACTCTTCCTTCCAAGAAGGACCAGGAGGAGGGTGTGACGGAGAAGCTCCAGAACGGGGACCTGGATCACATGATTCCCCAGCACTGCAACAGTGACCTGGATGGCAAGGCACCCGGCGTGGACGAGAAGGTCATCGTAGGCTCGATGTCTGTGCAGGTCAGCAGCCGTCAGCTCCCGGGGCAGCAGCCTTCAGGAAGCCGTGGCCTCTTTGAGTCAGGCTTACTGGAGCCACCCCGTAATCTCAAGTCCACTGAGATGTGCTTTCCCATAGGACCTGCAGGCATCCCAGAGTGCTTGCTACTGGCTCAAAGGGGTCCGATACTCTGACATTGGTACCCTGGCCTGGATGATCACCCTGAGCGACGGTCTCCACAATTTCATCGACGGCCTGGCTATTGGCGCCTCCTTCACTGTGTCTGTTTTCCAAGGCATCAGCACGTCGGTGGCCATTCTCTGTGAGGAATTCCCACACGAGCTGGGTGAGTGCATGTTCCCTATCCTATCCCTCTGGGCCAGCTGGCTCAGTTGTTGGCTGAGACACCCTTCCTGTGTCCTCCTCCCTGCTGCCTCTCTCCCTCTTCCGCCTCAACCGTGTTCCGACCAACTTCCAAATTAAAACAGTTGACTAGGGCGTAGCTTAGAATGGTGAAGGTTTTTACAGGAAGATTTTATTCCGTGAGCCCCATATACTGTGGCTTAATTTTTTCACCTGTGTAGTGTGGTTAATAACTGCACCCGCCTTTTAGAATCCTCAAGGGGATTATTAGCAAACAAATGTTGGGCTTACCAGGTGCCATACGCTATTGATACTCAGTGAAGATGATCATCTCATATGACCTTTTCATCCTGCGGAAGCTGGGAGTCAGCTCAAGTGTGGCAGGTGATGAATGAAAAACAAAGCTTAAGGATGCATGTAGTTTCACAGAGGAAGACTGAGAAGCCAGGACTAAGACTCAGCGATAACTCAGGGTCCTAACTTGGGCATGCATTGGCTTGTGACTAACATCTCCCTCTCTCAGTTTTGTACCACCCGTTAGGAGAAAGGGAGCTATTTTTAGTTCAACCGCCAGTCGAAAAAGAAACGAGGCCGTGGCTAGTGGGTCCTCTCCTTTTAAGAGCCTGTGAATTATTTCCAGCCTCTAGGTGGGGAGCAATGAGGCCACTGCTGGTTATTGATGGACTTTCAAAACCCTGTGAGTTCTTTCCAGCCCCTGTGCCGGGAGGTCATAGCCAGAGATGGAAGGTGGAGGTGCCTTCATCCCAGGACCGTCCTTGAGCCTGGGATTCTAACCCCCGCTTCCTCCGTAGTTGGAGCATTAGTGTTCCGTGTCCTGACTCAACTCCCTTCCCATTCTCGCCCCTGTTGTAGGAGACTTCGTTATCCTGCTCAACGCTGGCATGAGCATCCAGCAGGCTCTCTTCTTCAACTTCCTTTCTGCTTGCTGCTGCTATGTGGGGCTGGCCTTTGGCATCCTGGCTGGAAGTCATTTCTCTGCCAACTGGATTTTTGCACTGGCTGGAGGAATGTTCTTGTATATTGCTCTGGCTGATATGGTAAGTGTGCCGTGGTTTATGATTGACTCTTGAATCGGAGGGACAGGGCACAAGTTAGAACGGTTGCTTTTTCATCCTTGTTACATTGATTTTTGTGTGGGTGCGAGTTCGTTCTTGTGGGCAACGGCTTGTGGGGGTTGGTTTTCCTTATCTTACGGGTTCCTGAGGTCGAACCCAGGTCCTCAGTCTTGGCAGCAAATTCTCTTTCACGCTGAGCCATCCTGCCAGCCCCTATTTTATTTTTAATAACAGCTTCATTGAGGTCTCTTTCACATACCACACGATTTGCTGGTTTAAGATGTAACAGTTTGGGGCCAGAGAGACAGCTCCGCCATTAAGAGCGCTGGTTTCTCTTGAAGAAAACCCAGGTTTGATTCTTAGCACCCCTGTAGTGGTGTAGAACCATCTGAGGCTACAATTCCAGGGGATCTAACCTCTTCTGTCCTACCAGGGCCCAAGCACTAATGTGGTCCATAGACATATGTGCAAGCAAAATGCCTATACACATCAAACACATTTGTAAAAATCTAAAATGATAGAATCAACAGTTTCAAGGCAGCATTAGGGTTTCTTGTGTGTGTTTGAACCCAGACTGGCCTTGAAGTCATTGTAACCTCGCCTTAGCCTCTGGGTGCTAGACATGCAGGTGGAAACTACTCTCCCAGTGAGTCATTGGTTGGGGTTTTTGTTGCTACGTTTTGTTTATTTTATGCATATGTATATTTTATGTATATGCAGCTCTAGCTGCATGTACACCATTATACCAGAAGAGGGCGTCAAATCCCACTAGAGATGGCTGTGAGCCACCATGTAATTGTTGGGAGTTGAACCCAGGTCCTCTGGAAGAGCAGCCAGTGCTCTTAACCACTGAGCCATCTCTCCAGCCCATCCATCATTGGCTTTAAAAGGGAGAACTTTGGTCCCTCTGTTATCGTGTCATTAAATAAAATTGATTATACTCGGTCCAGGGTTCTTATTAAAAATTTGATAGAAAAGGTGTAATGTGTAGGCAAAAAGAAAAGAATGAAAGAGAAAGAACATTACTTATAACCTGTCTATCACAAATAATGGTAACATTATGTCTCTTTTGAAGTTTTAATATTCTTTGAGAATTTCATGAGTGCTGTATTTACATCATTTGCCCCTTCTCCCTCCAAACCTCCTGTGGTGTCCTTCCCCTGCCCTGCTCCTTCTCAAATTCATAGCCTCTTTCTCTCTAATTATTACTGAGATATATAACATATATATAACATATATGTTATATGTGTTATATATGTTATATATAACATATGTGTTATGTACACACAAAGACAAACTGCTGAGTCCATTTCATGTTGCTTGCATGTATAATGTGTATTGGATATCCAATTGGAGGGCTCATCCTGGGGAAGTCTGAGTAGTCTTTTCCTAGAACTCCTCATCTATGGATAGGGCTTTGTGAGGTTTCCTCCAATCCATGCTGATGTGGCAATTGGTGTTGGTGCTGTTCCGGTCCCGGTTCCGGCAGCCATATTGTTGAGAGCTACAGGGAACGGCCAAAGATAATGCCCCCAATGACTTACTTCCTCTAGAGAAGTCACTAGAAGCTCCAAAACACCACCACCGGAAATTGGAGGGTGGTGGGGGTGGATTCAAACCATAACCTGCCCCAATCACCACAGCTGGTAAGATGATAATGGAAACTGTAACCCTCACATTTTTCTCTCCTTTCTCAGTTCCCAGAGATGAACGAGGTCTGTCAAGAGGATGAGAGGAAGAACAGCTTCCTGGTCCCCTTTGTCATCCAGAATCTTGGCCTCCTGACCGGCTTCTCCATCATGCTGGTCCTCACAATGTACTCAGGGCAGATTCAGATTGGGTAGGACCCCGCCCCCGGGGAGCCAGTGGCATTTCGCATCAGACTCTGGGCCTTACGTCCCCGGCCTGAGGACTCAGCATCCATGAAGCATCATGGAAGAGGCAGTTCTTTACACACTGGCACAGACTGCCTGCATTCAGATGTCAGCTGTTTCAAAATATCCTGTCCCAGGAAGAACCTGCCCCGGGAATCTCTAGGTAGTGCCTCAAACCGTCTCCCCGACCCTTTCCATGTGTGATTCTGGAACTGAAATGCCTCACGTAGGACACACCTCCCTTCTCCTTCTGGTCACCCTCGTCTATCTCTTTCTCTCGGAGGAAGCACCGAGAGATGTTGAATCTTTTACAATGTAAAGATGAAGCCAATGGTCATGGTTTAGTTAGAAATATCAGGGTGGTTTCCAGCTTTGGGGGCCTGTGATTCTGAATGTGTGTACCCTGGAACTCAGGTCAGTCCATCTTGACATGGGTTCTCGAGTTTTTACAGAGAAAGGACAGAAGATAAGAATCCTGGTTTGTTTGTTTTTTTTTTCAGTCTGTTCAGTTAACTGATCTCTGAAAGAGACTGGCATTCTGAGCAGTTGAGGCAGGGGATCACCTCGAGTGACAAGGAGGTAGAACTAGTGGTGGATGTCCTGTCTCCTTGGTGCTCTCTGGTCCTCACTAGGATGCTGGATGCTGGTTGTATGCAGCATCTGTGTCACACAGGCAGCCAGGTGAGCCACTGTGAACAGTCTCCGGAGTGGCAAGAGGTCTGCACTAAATCAATCCACTTTGCCCTGATTTTCACACACACACACACACACACACACACACACCCTCTTGGCTTCCTTTTCTAGATACTTTTTAGATGCCTCACTAGGAGCACATTTAAGATGTTTGCGGGGAAATTGCACAAATTAATCTCCCCTGGTCTAGCCTTCTGCCTAGGTGAACCTGACGCAGAATCGGCACACAGTTGTTTATGCCTTATTGTGACAAAGGTATTCAGAAATGGGGTCAGTGCTGGCCAGACTTAGGACTTGTTAATTGCAGAAAAAATAGTTGAATACCAAGGAACTCTGGACCTTGAGGTCAGACCTTGAGGTCAGGGCTGCGGACGTCACTGCTGCCGGTGAGTTTTAAAGGGGCAACACTGTCTAGCTACCACCTCCTCCCTGGCCCCAGGCAACAGGATTGAAGCCTGAATTGAACTGAGTGTAACTTGCTTTCTTTGGCTCCGGAAAAACGGATGGTTATGCTTGACATTTCACACCACAGGCCGGCCTCAGACACTGTGGAGCCCTCTCCTCAGAACTCTGGCTTCCAGGGGAGCTAATCTCCAGGTTCACTAAGTGAATTCATATATTATTATCATATTGATAACGCAGATTCCTTAGCCACTTTGGGGAGCCAGTCTCTCCTGGAGCCTTTCTTAGTGGTGCCCACAGTCACAGCCCAGGGGCCATTGTTTGCATGGCTGACAGTACTGGTTCATTGCCAACACCTGAGTCTTTCTGTTCTTACCCAGGAAAACTGTCCATTAAAAACAGCATATATATACACACACACATATATATACACACATACATACATACATACATACATACATATATACATACACATATGTATATATATGAACACATGTGTGTGCATGTGTGAACACATGTGTGTATGTATATATATATATATATATATATATATATATCCATTCTTGGGGAAACATGCTTGCAACCAGGAACCCTGACAACACACCTCGGGGACACAGAGATTTGCTCAGTTTCTCTCCGGCACTTACCTCTCTTGCCTTGGGTGGGTTTGAGGAGAGGCAGGCGGAAGAGGAAACTTCAGCAATCACGGTTCTAGATTGAATGTCAGGACCAAGTCCTGGATTGGGGTCCAGTTTTACCAAAGAACCAATTCCTTCCACGTTAGAATCTAATAGTTCATGTCATCGTCGTCGTCGTCGTCGTCGTCGTCGTCCTCACCATTGTCACTGTTTGAAGAGTCTTTATCTTTTCTGTTTTATTTTTCCAACAACTGCATAAGGAGCTAGCAGAGATTGACACTCAAACTCTAAGACTGAGCACTGTGTGGTGCTCACCTGTAATCTCAGCCCTCAGGAGGCAGAGTTGGTCGGAGGCTCAAGTTTTGCACCAACCTGGGCTTCATAGAGAATCAGTCGCAGGCCAGCCTGGGCTACATAGTGAGCTCCTGTGTCAGCCAGACAAAATGAAGATTAAAAACATAAAACTTAGTACTCTTTTATGTGTGGGCTGAGGGTGTGGCTCGGTGGTAGAGCTTTTGCCTAGTGTGTGTGTGACACCCTGAATTTCATTCCCAGCACCACCACACACACCACCACCACCCCCCAAAAAAAGATTGGAAGATTCTGCTTAGTTCACGTTCTTGTGTACTAGAATTTAATTTTAGAGTCCCCTCTAGATGCTATTATTCCTTAAATCCCCTTCATGCTGAAGGAGGACGGTGGCTTTAGAAGAGCTTAAGAATAGTTTTAAACATGAGATAGGGTGCTTGCCATGCACACTTCACAGGAACTCGAGAACTTTCTTGTGCAGACAGCTGCCTTTAAAGGGAAATCCTGGAGCCTCATTCTTCAGGGGTTGGGGTGGGGTGCTCCAGTCCATCTGATTATCTGTGGCTGTTGGCAGCAGATTTGCCCAGCGAGTTGAAATTGTGGCCACTGAATCTTTCTGACTGCCAAATGTTGAACTTGCTGTTTTAAGCATTTGTACATATTAGAAGTCCAAGGGGTGGTGGGTTGTTTAGCAGACTTTTCCCCCTCTGGCCTTATTGCCTGTAGCTTCCTGCCCCCTGCTAACACTAGCAGGGAAAGTGCTTGTCACACAGAGGAGCCCTTAGCCAGGGACAGGGTCCTGTCACTTCGCACCTCATCCCTGACCTCACCTTTTGTCACCCACCCCTTACCCCCAATATTTAGTGTCTGGTGTCTGGTGTCAGCAGGGGAGCGTTCTTCAGTAACCCTTCACCCTGGGTTTTAAACGAGTTCTCTGTTTGGGTCGCCTAGGATCCAGCTTTAGTGAACCCTCTTCCAAAGAGATGCAGATAAGCTGGGTGATTTTTTGCAAAAAGAAAGAGGATTTTATTCATAGTTCCCTTTACAGTTCCATCACAGTATTTTTTAAAATAACTCAGGTGTTATGAGAAGAATTAGAAAATAAAATAACTTATGTCATGTGGACTGTAAGTGTTTTATTTGTAAGATTCTATAAATAAAGCTATATTCTATAAGAATTGGTAAGAGTCCCAAGTGTGGTCTTTGGCCTGAGGATCTGGGGTGTAATGAAGAATCCTTGACACAAGGTGGCGATCGTGTGTTGCTGATTTACAAAGGGTTTTTGCCGGGTCTGGCTTACATTTTGCATATGGGAATTTAGAAGGGACTTCATATGTCCTATAATACACTTCTTTTTAAAATGATTCACTTTGGGCCAAGTGTGTAACTCAGGAACAAAGGACGTAGCTGTGGATGAGGCCTTGGAAAGAGTAAAGACTGTATGTATAAAGTTCTGTATAGAACTCTACGTTACTTTTCCTTTATTTCATCACGTTTATTGTTTGCATGTATGTTTGAGTAGGCATGTTCATGCATTCCAGGGTGTGTGTACAGGTATTAGTTCTCTCCTACTATGCGGTTTTTGGGGATCAAACTCAAGTCATCAGGCTTGATGACAAACAACCTTACCCACTGAGCCATCTTGCCCCTTTTTGAAAAATAAGGGGCTGTTTTTATGGATAATTACTCTATGTAGGTTCTTGAAGTGGTGTTTAAATGTCACACCATTCTGGTTTAGCTCTTACTGGATGAGACACTTCCAGGGGACTTGTATGCTAATGGTTACCCAGAGATCTCATTATAGTTTGCTGAGGAATAAATCTTATAGTGTGAAGGGACTGGAGAGATGGCTCAGGGGTTAAAAGCACTGACTGCTCTTCCAGAGGACCCGGGTCCAGTTCCCAGCACCCACACCACAGCTCATAACTGTCTGTAACTGCAGTTCCAAGGGATCTGACACCCTCACACAGACATACGTGCAGGCAAAACACCAGTGCACACAAAATAAACATTTTAAAAATTGCTTTTTAAGATCTTACAGTGAATTGTCAGCAGTTACTAGCAGTATCCCGAGTATCAGAGTCGGCTCATTAACAAATGGATCCCTCTAATAGTATGCTGACACCTTAAGATTTCAGCAAGAGCCCATTAAGATTTATTCTGGTGGTGCCAGGATGCAGTAGTAGACTTGCTCTAAGCCCCAGCCTGAGGCAAAACAGTATCCATCCATCCCCCCCACCCCCCACCCCACGCGCCAAGCTTAGAATAGCTCTGCAAAACCACCTATCCTGGGAGAGCATCCACAGATCATATTGGTCTTTATTTGTGTGTGTGTGTGAATGGGTGTTATGTCTGCATGTACATGTTGTGTACCTCTTGCACGCCCAGTGCCTGAGGATCAATCATCAGATCCCCTGGGACCCGAGTAGCAAAGGGTTGTGGTCCACCAACAGTTGTGCTGGGCATCAAACCTGGTCTTTCGGAAGACCATCCAGGACTCTTGACCACTGAGCCATCTCTCCAGCCCCTCCCGTTGGTCTTTTAATTTGCATTCATTTTCAGCACATGTGCTGGTGGTGTCACAAAGGATGTGGGCCGCAGCCCTGGCATCGATCCCTTCTCTGGGACTCTTCCTCCACGTGCTCTTACCACTTTCCTAGGCTGGGTTTGGTTTCTGAGGGATGGCTTTGCTGTCTCCTGCTCTGGCCCACGTTCATGTAGAAACTTACTTAAAAAGAGGTGAAATTATGGCACCGGAGACAATAGGGCCCCGGAGTAAACAGGCCTTTAAGATGATTAGAACGGTCACTGCTGACATCTCTTTGTAATACTCTTAGCCAGCTAAGCCTGTTGGGGGAGGGGCTGAAATGCACTAAAACTGGACATGTCTGCCGAAGTAAGTCATTAGGCTTCCCTCCTCACTGCTGCTTTTCTAGTCAGTGGTACCCAGGTCTGATTTGAGCAAAATCCATTCTGAGAAATGGCAAAGATACTCCATGTGGACACAGGTCATAACATTAGAAAAACAAATGCCTATCTATTTTAAAGAGCATGTGCACTTTGTGGTCTCGCATGGGGATACACATACTCCTGAAGACTGATGGTTTACCTATACAATACCCATTGAAAGTCAATGTCTTCATTCTTCTGGAATACATCAAATTACAATCTGTGTCTTCTAGACAGCTTTAAAAGTGTGTGTGTGTGTGTGTGTGTGTGTGCGCGCGCGCGCGCACATGTATATATGTATGGGCCAGTGAGATGACTCGAGGTAAAGGGCATGCCTCCACACCTGATGACCTGAGCCAGGACCCTGGCACCCACATGATGGAAAGAGAGAACCAACCCCTGTGTGTTATCCTCTGACCTCCACAAAAGTGCATATGGCATGTGTGAGTGCCCCCCCACCTCTAAATAAATAACAATCTGGGGCACCCTGGTGAGGATCCAGGTTTGTTTCCCAGCATCCATGAGGTGGTTCACAGCCACTTGTAATTCCATTTTCAAGGGATCCGACACCCTCTTCTGGATTTTGCAGGCACTAGGCACCAGGCACATACATGCGGCACATACATACAGGCAAGCAAAAACACTCATGCATACACATAAATTTTTAAGTAATTTTAGAAGACTTTTATTTTTAATTATGTGTATGTGGGGGGTGGGCATTGCGCATGTGGATGCAGGTGCTCGCAGAGGCCACAAGAGGGCATCAGATCACTTGGAGCTGGAGCTGGTTGTGAGCTGCTGGAAACTGAACTCAGGTCTTTTTCAAGAGAGTACACTCTCCATCCCCTAGCCACCCCTAAAAAAAATTAAGCCTAAGGAAATCATAATTTTATATATATTTGGAAAAACAGCAGCAGTTGGGAAAGATGCAAAGGCTTATCAGAGATCCATGTGTTTTCAACATCACAGCCTCTTCTTACCTCTTCTCACCAACTGTTTTCCACGGTTCGTTTGAAAGGAAGTGAATCAACAGACTAGTCCTCTGGGATAACAGCAGTCTTTGACCCTGGCAGCAGGTAGGCGGCCAGGATGGTTGTCGCATCAATTACAGTTAAGGGATAACTAAGAAGTTCTCTGACCCTGGTAATCATAAGCCAAGAAGTACTTCTGCTAGGCTCTGGGGTTTACTTCTGTACCTGTGGTTTGTTCATAGATACTCCAAACACTAAAGTTTCACAAATGCATGAGGTCGTCTCAGTGGAGGCCCTAACAAATCTGCTGTAGTCATTGTAAATGAGGTGTTTTCTCTTAAAATATGTATTTTTTTCTGGTGAGACATGGGCTCCAGGTCCGTAATTCCAGCATTGCAGCACTCGGGGGGTGGAGGCAGGAGGATCAGCAATTTAAGGCTAAGCCTTAGGGACATAGTGAGTTTGATTGGTGTGTGTTTATGTGTGTGTGTGTGTGTGTGTGTGTGTGTGTGTAATATATAATTAATGAATTATAGATGCTAATAAGGAAGAAGAAATTTTTTTCATCATGTCTTCCCCAAACAGGAGATTCTTTCAAGTGCCCTGCAACTGTCTTTTTTATTAGTCTCTACTCATTGTACAAAGTAGTGGATTTCGCTGAGACACTCTGATACATGCATTGAATATGTGCTTTTGTTTGTTTTTGTTTTTCGAGACAGAGTTTTTCTGTGTAGTTTTGGTGCCTGTCCTGGATCTCCCTCTGTAGACCAGGCTGGCCTCGAACTCACAGATATCTGCCTGTCTCTGCCTCCCGAGTGCTGGAATTAAAGGTGTGTGCCACCACCGCCCAGCAGAATATGTGCTTTGATCACGCCTGTCCTCTCGGTTGCTCCCTCTACCTTACAGTTCACATAGCAGACTCTTTGAAGCTGTGGTCTGTGGTGTCCTAGACACAAGGCCCAGGTCACAGTTTATAGCATAAGGCCAAGTAGTATATGCTTTGGGGTTGGTTTTGGTTTTGGTTGACTGATTCTTGCCCTTCTTATTATGAAAATGAGTGAATAGTGAAGGACTGGGATTTAGATTTTTCTTTCCTAGGAATGATGGTTTATTTGGGATTTTTTTTT